GCCCTGTTTTAGCCAAACCAGGACACATGTCTGCACACACACAGTGAGCTCCTTCTTGAGCATTCCAGAAGGTGGTATGGGTATCAGGGTAGCCCCCAGACTCAGTTAGCTTTGTGCTTTGACCGGGCATGGGCACAGGCTGTCGCTGTCTCCTGGCAGTTGCACCTGGGCAACTTGTCTCTGCAGTTTCAGGGTTCCTAACACAGGGAACCACCCCCCACCTTTGTGGAGCATGAGTCACTGCTCTGCCTCCCTGAGATGTGCCCAAGTGAAAACACAAACAGGCATTAAGTCTCCTTCAGTTAGTTGTTTTGAGACACCGGATGATAAAGGGTCCTTTTACCATCACACCTATCCTCTCACTCTCTCTTGTCTACTGCTGGAAATAGCTGGACTCTGATACAGCTGGTTTTGAGTCATATCTTTTTTGTTACCCTATATTCCGATTTGACAATTTTCAGTGCGTAAGCTAGTTTTGTCACTTACAAAGGACAGTTTCTGTGTGTCTGAAAACATCTGAAATATTTATTTTTGTTTTTCTCACTCTTCATAACTCGTTTTAAAAGATGCTAAGTACTGTTTACTGTATTTAGGCTTTTGCAGCCCAAGAGGACTTGGAAAAGACCAAAGAAGAACTGAAATCTGTGATGTCTGCTCCTCCTCCACCTCCTCCCCCACCAGTTATTCCTCCAACAGAGAATGAACATGATGAACATGATGAGAACAATGCTGAAGCCAGTGCAGAACTGTCTTCTGATGGTGTCATGAATCACAGGAGTGAGGAAGAACGGGTAACAGAAACACAGAAAAATGAACGTGTTAAGAAACAGCTCCAGGTAATGAAGATTCGTAGTTGTATCAACATAATTCAGGCTTTGGGTTTTCATTCTTTATTTGTCAAAAATCTCATTGAAATTGCGGTGTGCCAAGGAAACAGCCTTTCTATTGTTTACTAGGTTTATTGCTAATTTACCAACCAATATCATTCATAGTGTTGTAGAAGTGGAATAGATAGAAAGATTAGATGCAAGATTGTGCTTTAAAGCTTAAAAGTATTAGTGTGTTGTCGCATTGGCCAGTGAACGTTTCTAGTAATTATATGATGTCCAGGACATTGAATGTTAAAACATAATGCTTTACTTTCTCAATACTGAAATTCATTATGTGGTATGAACAGATGCTTGCTTAATAGTATTTGTGTTTATTTGCAGTCATTCACAGATGCTGTAAATGCAAAAAATGAATTATGCCCGTTTTGGATTAATCTTATTTGCCTGAAATGGAGCATTGTCTCCTAGACTAGTCTTACCCCTGAAAGTATAATAATCTATGTTAGTGGTAACCCTTTGGCCTTATTATGAAATGTCTATTTGGGAAGGAAATAAAAGAAATGGAAAGCTGCTTCTTTTTCTGGCAGGAATATCTTAGTAGGGTGTATGTGTAGTATCCTTTCTGCTTGGCCAATCACTGAACAGGATCAGAGAGATAAAGAAGACCTGTCTTTAGTCAAGCAAAAATTGAAAATAAGGTCATCCTCCTGCTTTATCCTGCTGGTCCCTTTCTTTTTGGATGTTATGGTATGAGGCCGTTTGGTTTGGTTTTTTTGGTTTGGTTTTTTTTCAGTTTGCCCACACTTATGTAAGGAAAGAATCCTATGCTTTCCTTCTCTTTCCATCTGCC